CGTCGTCATCTGGTGGGATCAACCTTCGAATAGCTTCTTGATGCACTTTCATACGAAATGAAAGCCTTTACAGCATTCTTGATGCCTTTTTAAATCAGACTTATGCTGTTAAGATAAGAGTGATGAATACAATCATGATAAGGAGTTTGCGTGTAGTGGGTCTAACTCATGAGGACCAATAATTAGAAAGGCTGAGCAAAATCATAGTTTAGAACAGTTATTCGTTAGGATTAATTGTCAATAACTCTGCAATACTAGAAGCATGATGAGGAGAATATACTATTTAGGATATGAAGGAATACTGGGGTTCGATGATTCTCTTGAGATAACATTGTTAGGGGGACTTTCATTACGTATGAAAGTGAAGGAAGAAGAGATTCGTTGGTCGATCTCACCAGATGAGGATGGATGAATCTCGTTGACGCAATCAACAAGACTTCCTAGTTTTAACGTGAGACTCTTACAAGAATGAAAACCAGCTCTGATGAGTTCCATCATATGATGGACGAAAGCTCAGCACGTTTTCACCCGAAACGAGGAAGGAAGTCTTGTGGACTGCGTCAAAATGAATATCGTATAAAAGCCAAACGGCTGCAATATAACGAGATTTATCCGTCCTCATCTGGTGGGATCGACCAACGAATCTCTTCTTCATTCACTTTCATGCTAACTGAAAGTCCCCCTAACAATACTATAAGAGAGGTTCACTTATCATGTAGTATTGAAGGAGCCATATATGGAGATAAATGGTACCTTATGTGACATGCTGAAAGATAGGCATTAGAGAACGAGGAGCTGAATGAATGCACAATAAATTCACTAATAAAAAAGAATGCACGACCGGCACAACCTAGAGGTTACTGAAGATACACAAAGAAGGAGAACCACTAAGGCTGATAGTTGACAACAAGTTTGTCAGTGAAGTGAAGCACCCGTGAATTTTCTCAAAGGATCATGATACTGGAAGAGAGAATTATTGGTAAGTTTTGATTTACAACCTTTGTGCACAAACATTTCTGGAGAAAAGACACCAAGGGCCCTAATAGAAATGTTCATTCGAGAAGAGGATCTCATAGAAGCAGAAAGTATCCACAGGGAATGGTTAACACGACTAATCAACTTGACAATAGGAACTACCTACTTCCCATTCAACGGTCCCATCTATGAGCAGGCATTTGGACTTCCTCACCTCTTTTGGCAAATGTATACATGAACAAATTAGAAGAGAATTTCAAGACATCACCACCGCAGTCTAGAATTCTTATGCAGTATCCGGATAAGTACTTCACAATTCGGTTTCAGGGAAGAGAAAACTTGGAGGATTTACTGAAATTTATGAACCGAATTGATGATAGAATCAAGTTCACAATGGATGTAAAGTAATAGGGGCGCTTAGCCTTCCTAGATATTGAAGTTATTCGCTCTAATGGGATATTCAAGATAAAATTGTTTCGAAAGAAGTCATACGCCGAGATAAAACTCAATTTCGAGTCCCATCACAGCGACAGAATGAAGATAGGGATACTGAGGAGCATGATAGTCAGAAGCCTACGATTAACGGACGTGGAATTCAGGGATGAAGAATAGATAACTGATACCCAAGAGAAGTGATACAAAGAGACATACTGGCCGTAAAGAGCCGATGGCATGACAACGATTATGAGATGGAGGGTGACTCACAAAAGTGGATATTTCTCCCTTCTTGCAAACTAACTCAAAAACAACGGGCAATATTAAGAAAATGAAATATTCAGAGTACGACTAAGGAAAAAACAATATTCTTCACAAGTCTGCCCACGCAACATAAGAGGCTATACAAATTAGATTTCTTGGAAGTTTACGGCATAGCATGCGGAGTCTGTAAACATAAATATGTTGTTGAAGCAGTATAAGAATCAAGAAACATCAAATCCCCGCATAAAAATGGATACCGAAAGATCAAAAATAATAGTATACATCACGCCGCCTGGACGTGATATCAATTGAAAAGCAGAAGAAAGAAGGTCCTTAAGCGATGAAAACACAAATAAACGGAAGATTAGGAAGTTTATTGACATCCTTGGGAAAAGAAGTTTAATAAAAGGGAGGTTTGAAGAAGGCCTACTGCTTAAGCATGCTCAGGGAAAACAAGGATACGACAAGATAAGCAAAAAGGAGACACTTGAATCAAGGATCTAGCGTAAACGAGAGGAAAGTGGATCGTAAAAAAGAAGAGGGTGATGAAGGTTCGGAAATAAAACGAATACGCTTGTAGTTTGTTCGAAAGAACAACTACAACTTTGGCGGGTGACGACCACTTGACTAAGGAGACGGATAATCACAACAGTCACAGAAATTCGGCCCTATAGCCAAATCAAGTAGAAATCCATTCGAGAGGTAGTAGGCGACCAGAGATGGAAGTGTACAGTTTGCTAAAGCTAGTTCGAGTCAAGCCAATCGACAGCTGGTCAAGAGGAATCCGCCGTCGTCTTCCGGTGGAATCGACCTTCGAATATTTTCACCCAACAATTTTACTCGAAATGGAAGTTAGCTCAACAATTATGCAACAAGAGACTCCTCGAAACCCAACTTTACGTCTAATCAAGAAGATGAGGCGTGAAGGCAATTCTTAATACCCGTAAGCATGTGAATCATAGGTATGAAGACCAAGATTTTGTGGCCTTTTGTGTGGTCGCAGTCTCCTTTCATTGTATAGAAGTTGTTTGATTTTATTTTCGCAACTCGATCATATTGGTAGGAAGACTTGGAGCAACGCACCTTGTCCAGAGTCCATTGTATGCATCATCATTTCCAGAGTAGGACCGTGGATGTGGTACATTCCAAGACGTTCCGCCGGCATCGTCAGTGAGTCTCGTCGTTCGTAGCACCATATTACAACTTGTCAAAGAGACAAGTTTAGCACATGTTTGGTCAAAGGATGGGCTTCACTTGTCTCTTTGACGAGTTGTAATATTGTGCTACGAATGGCGAGACTCACTGACGATGCCGACGAAACGTCTGGGAATGTATCACGTCCACGGTCCTACTCTGGAAATGATGATGCATAAAATGACAGAGTTGCGAAAACAAGGTACAACAACTTCCATGTGAATCAGAGCGTAGACTCTCTTCAGGTGAGGTGAGGCGACATTGTACGTGCTGCTGGAGGATTGAGAAATAGGGCTTTGAGTAAAAAGTGCACTGGGTCTGGAACCGAGTGAAATCGGCCAACTGGAAAGATGAGAAACGGATCCACGGACCATGAGGCAGATGCGGATAAGAGGCCCGAGTAGGATTGGCGACCGGAAAGGGAAGGGGGCAAGACAAACGGCAGGTGGGATCGCGCCATGGTAGATTCGCCAAAAGGACATACCTCTTGAGGAGTGGAATATAAAAAAGTCTGAAGTTGTGAGGCTATGACGTAGACAGAGGAGCCAGGTGATAGGGTTTAACTTCACTACTCCCTTTGGCAAGTTGTGGCTCAGTATTGAGAATGGCAAGACTCTGTAAGGATGCCGGCGAAATGTCTGAGAATATGCCAAGTGCACAGTCCGACGCTCGGAAATATTATAAATAATATGGAAGAAGACAAAATAACCAATTTACTAAACAAGATCAGACCACATCCGTAGAATTTTATACCGATCTGTCTTTCGTAAGGACTCTCCTGAGACGGGTTCGTTTTCGGCTCTGCTTAGACCTCTTCAGCGTAATAAGCTCGGGTCAAATCCGGTCTTGCGTCTTAAATTGGCAACAAATTACCACCTGACACAAATTAGCCGGTACCTTCCCTTCTTATCTGATAATAGAGCTAAGTTTCAGTGAGGCGTATTCATAATTGCCGCTAAATTGCACAAGTTTGCATTTGAAAAAGTGCTAGATTCTTGAAATAACAGTATTGCTTGGACTTTCATTTCGTATGAAAGTGTATGAAGAAGAGATTCCAAGGTCGATCTGACCAGAGGAGGACGGTTGAATCTCGTTGTAACGTTGCAGCCGTTTGGCTTTTACACGACGTTGAGATTGACACAGTCGGAAGAGACTTACTTCCTCTTTTCGGGTGAAGATGGGCTGAGCTTTCGTCCATCATATTATTCTCCATGGACATCATCAGAGCTGAGGCTCATTTGTGTAGAATTCTCAAGTTACCTCAAAGACAAGAATGTTATCTCGGGAGATTCATCGAAATCCA